TTTTTTTTGACATACTTGTGAATAAACGTTGATTGAATTCAATTGTGTGTGTATTTTAATGTCGGAGATTATAGTCTATGTGATTTGGAATTTGGAAGGCCATATCAAATAACAAAAATGTAATTTAGGATTAGAAAGGTTTCTCTATATGGGAATGTATATCTTGTGTGCGTGTGCATATGTTTGTGCTTGTCTTCATTGGTTAGAGTAGTTATCAATCCTGTTAATTATCGCTACATTCTCTTGCTATTGCCAAGTTTCAGACTTGCCTAATGCAGTGGAATTCTATGTTAACCATCAGGCTATTTTGATTCTAGCATGATTAATTTGGGTGATAAAAAATTCGAAGTTCTTGCACATATTCATAGTATGGCTACTAAAATTTATATAGATCTCTCTTAATGATAGAAAACACATACTATATATTGTGTTTTTGATGATGGAGCTTCTTTTATAGGCATAGATTTTAATAGATAAACTCGGTTTTAAAATGCAAGGTGATGGCTATCCTGATCTTGATTGGTTTGCAATCGGATAACTCTGGTTTCTTATAGTTGGGTTATCCCATTCTCCTTTTTTTGTGGGCAGTTTTCATACCATTACATATTATAATTCATGCAATTTTCTAATCTACTATGCAGAGTTCGTTTGCCTAAAAATCTCAATTCTCTTGTTATATGAGATCACAAGTCTATCTCTTGATGAGACAATTTGTGATTGGCGACAGAGTGACTCTTGGCTAGGCTGGGTCAACTATCTTCACGACATAGTGATCTCAAACTTGCATCAAAATTTTGGCTAGATTTTTTTCTACTTATTCAGTGATTATTATCTCTTTGTTATTGTATATGGAGAGATAATTGTCTTACTTAGCTATGATGATTCACTGTCTACCTTGTGGACTTATTAGTTTCAAAGCGTTGACTGTCCTATCATAACTTGGTTATATCTACTGGCATGATGTGATAATGGCGTATCCCATCTTCATTGTTCTTGCATGTGAAATGGCAGTCAGTTTATATCTATTATCTTAATGGAAGTATTCCTTGATTTGTATTTTGACACTATTCTGCCAAACCTTCTTCGATTGATTTCTAGGTTGACGCACAAACTGGAAGGCCTCGTGTAAACTTTAGAGAGACAATAACACAGCGGGCAGAATTTGATTACTTGCATAAGAAACAGACTGGTGGGCAAGGCCAATACGGACGTGTTTGTGGGTATGCGTAGGCCTAAATGTAATCAAAGTGTCTTCTTGATGAATAATCTTTTTCTTGATGTTTTCCACATTATGATGCTGCTATTTATGTTTTTTAATGGTTTACAATTTCTTAAGATAAAGATTCAAGTTAGTGTTCGTTGCTTTATTTATCTTTAATGCAGCTTTTGTGGAGTTTTGAGTGGTTTTAAAAAACAACTTAAATTACATATTTGTAAGGATCCTCGATGCATCAATGCCAATAAATTTTAATATAGCTGTCAGACATTTGGTTTTATCGAATGGTTGCCAATGACAAAGTGATGATGCTTTCATACGGGATTGAAAGATGATCCTTGAACATAGAAAATAGGTCTAGCCTTCATTTTAAAAGGCGAAGCCAACATAAATGTAATATGTATCAACATTCTTTAAATGTAGTATGATTTTGGTGATCTAGTAGGTAATATTTTGTGGGTAAAATGCAGAAAGTATATGCAATAAATACAAACTAAATCATAATTTTAGGAGCTAGTATCCCAAACATTGAAATAAACATATATTATGCTATACAATTTTCCCCATGCATATTATATAATTTTTTTCAGTATTAATGACTTTTTCAAATAAATAATTAATGCAACATTATTAGAATATGATGCATGAAAGATTAATTAAGTAAAACATTTAAGCTTTCTAGGGGAAGTATGATTGATAACTTATGATGAAATATTAAGAACTTTGAATAAGAAAGTTAAGGGTCCTACAAAAATTATAGCAAGCCTTTTTCTTGCAAGTTACTTAGGAAAATGAACTATTTTCTTAAAATAAAATTGGATAAATTGTGTAATTATTAAACAACATGATTCATCCATATCTTGTGTTTGAATTTTTTTTTTGTTTGACACAAGCTTTTCTGAAGGAAGTCTATAGTAAAAAATATGGAAATATGTAACTTTAATTTTACATTTTCTTAATTATTCTTCCAATTTTTTTTATATTTGATGACAAAGTCAAATACAAACTTGCTTTCTTACTAAATTGCATTTAGATGAGCATTCTTAACAAATAATTGTCTGATAATTAGAAGGTGAGAAGGCTTTGTAAACCTGCAGCTCTAACATTTATGAGATACTTAGTTTCGATTTCAGAAGTTTTATGCTCAATTTGTAGGGCAAACAGATAAATTTTTAGGGTAAGTTTTAGATTTAAGATTTGATTCTAGTGCAGGACCAACAATAAAAGCATCATGCAGTGGATAATCTTAATTTAGACCATTCTAGTATTCAATATCTTCAATATAACCGGTATATTTTGCAATAGGATTTAAGAGATCTAGTATTAGTGGCATTGTTTGGGACTTTAATATTGGAGAAATGACCTAAGATGACGATAAAGTATTTCTTGGTTTGACTAGAGTGGAGCGATGAAATAGTATCCTTAATAACATTATTAAAATAGGATGATTAAGCAAGGCACACAACCTACGCTTATCTGCGAAGTATTCAATATATTTATAATCATTTCATGGATTATAATAACTTATACTCTTTTTATGATGTGCATGACACTAGCATACAAAATACACCCTAGGAGTTTTACTAACCAGATGTTTTTATTTTAGAGAATCCATTTGTTGACTAAGTTTAGAAAATCTACCCATGATGTTATGTGCATGTTACGAACTGACAAAACATAACCTAGGAATTTTACTAACAAGATGCTAGTTTCATTTTGAAAATATATTTAATGACTAAGAGTTTGTTTGGGGCAGTTGTAGTTTATTAATAAGCTGCTGATAAGTAACTACCCTAGGAAGCTGCTGCGCAACAACTGCTGAGGATAAACTTATTGACAATTTGGTTTGTGCTTTTAAAAAACAACTGTTTTGCAGTTGTTTCTGGACAAATGATTATTCTGCCCATGTGCTATAATGTTTGCAACAGAACTGTCATGACAATATATCAATATATTTGATACTTGAGAAGCAAAAATTCACTTCAAAATAGTACACAAAATAAGATATATGTCCCACTTAAGAGTGAGTATCATGATTATTAAAATAAAGAAAAGACTATTAAAATAACATTTAATAATATGATAATATTAATTTTAAAGTTGAGACTGCGTATGTCAGTAGCTAGGCCATCACTCCAACCTAATACAAACCACCACAACTACACAACTTGAATAAGTATCTAGTATGTGATAACATACATGTTAATTACTTCATATTTGGTAGGTAATGTGAAATACATCACTTATAGAGAAGGTTAAAAACTCAGGTAGTTGTGGGAGTAAAAAGGAATCCTATAAGGTAGTGGAAAACATGAATATTTGCTTATATAGTTACAAGGTGGAATCTTATGCAATTATTTTGTGGGAATATTTTACAGTTTTTTGCATCTTCCCTAAAGAGCTTAAAACTTCCCTCACTTCATGCTTGCCTGAGAAACTCCCATCTCCTAGAAGAATCTATAACTACAACATTTGAGATGGAAAATCACAGCAAGCCAAGTTCTCATCAGGCATGACAATTGATAGAAAAACCAATAGATTCAAAACAAGGGGCACCGCTAAAGGAGTTGTAATCACCCTACCCTAACTCAATTGAGAATCTAACTAGTTTCACTCTATTTTTGCAATCGAGCCACTCTTCTTGCATTTAACCATGCTTTCACTCTGAAATAATCAACCTCAAACTCCCACACTAACGCAAAACCAGCAAGCGAAAAGGCCACAAGGGCGCAAAACTACAAGAGAAGAACCAATCACAAAACCACAAAACCACAAAACCAACAAGAGAAGAACCAATTGCAAGATCATAATGCCAGAGACAAGTTCGAAGTCCATACCGTGGAGAAACTTAGTCATGAGAAGGGGGAGGGAGAAGCCAACACGGTCATGAGAGGAGGAGAAAGATTCGGTCGTGAGAGAGGACTCGAGGGTGAGAGAAGAAGGGTAGGGTAGTAAAAAATGCAGCGTCGAACAATAGGAACCTGTGGCCCGCTTTTCGCTGAAATTATCCCAAACGCCCCCAAAACACGACATTCAAAAAAAAAAAAAAATTGTGCGGCTTAGGGTCGTGTGTGCAAGAAACGCGACCCCAAACACACCCTAAGTTTACAGAACTATCCATAATTTTAAAATACACACTTAACTATTATAATATTGGGTCTAACTTTTCTTGCCTATTGTGAAGTCTAATAGTTGAGATGATAAAGATGAAACCTTGCAATATGCATGAGATGATGAATTGATATGTTAGGCTTGCAAAGATGCAACTGACATGAAGTGCCACATAAGTGAAATGATATGAGCAAGTTCTTAAGCTAACAATAGAAATTAAAAACGCACAAATAAACGAGTTAATTCATTAAAACAACAGTAAATCTAACTAAATTTATTTTAAATCATGTCATTTTCAACAAGAAAGATTCAATTTTGATTATGTGTACACACACTCTTAATATGAAGTGGAACTAATTCAAATGAAATTATCAAAAAATGAAAAAGGTTGCAATGGATATTCAATTCACTATGCATGGAGTTTCCTAAGCATGAAACTAGATTTGCAGATCATTATAAATTATGATCCAAACTTTTAAAGTCTAGGATTACGTATTTAAGCAGTTAGAATTCAAGTTTTTTTGGCGACAAAATGTATATTGATGAAGATTCTATTCGCTAACGTAGTGCGGCATGGAAGTCTTTCACCCTATTCAAGAAGGTACTTGACACAAAAATCCAAACTCTCAAAACAGATAATGTACGAAATTTTTTAAACAGCTCCCTAGGAACTTTTCTTACTCAACATGACATCTTTCACCTTAGTACGTGTGTTGATACTCCCCAACAAAATGGGGTTGCCGAGCGAAAAAATCGTCACTTGTTGGAGGTAGCCCGCTGTCTCATGTTTACCACATCGGTCCCTAAATGTTATTGGGGCGAGGCAACATGCGGCCTGCCTCATAAATCGGATGCCCTCTCGTATTCTGGGTTTCTGTAGTCCAATTGATGTTCGCCTTCGCTCATTTTCAAATACCTGCACAATAAAATTCACTTCAAAATAGTACACAAAATAAGATATATATCCCACTTAAGAGTGAGTATCATGATTATTAAAATAAAGAAAAGACTATTAAAATAACATTTAATAATATGATAATATTAATTTTAAAGTTGAGACTGCGTATGTCAGTAGCTAGGCCATCACTCCAACCTAATACAAACCACCACAACTACACAACTTGAATAAGTATCTAGTATGTGATAACATACATGTTAATTACTTCATATTTGGTAGGTAATGTGAAATACATCACTTATAGAGAAGGTTAAAAACTCAGGTAGTTGTGGGAGTAAAAAGGAATCCTATAAGGTAGTGGAAAACATGAATATTTGCTTATATAGTTACAAGGTGGAATCTTATGCAATTATTTTGTGGGAATATTTTACAGTTTTTTGCATCTTCCCTAAAGAGCTTAAAACTTCCCTCACTTCATGCTTGCCTGAGAAACTCCCATCTCCTAGAAGAATCTAGAACTACAACATTTGAGATGGAAAATTCACAGCAAGCCAAGTTCTTATTAGGCATGACAATTGATAGAAAAATCAATAGATTCAAAACAAGGGGCACAACTAAAAGAGTTTTAATCACCCTACTCTAATTCAATTGAAATTCTAACTAGTTTCACTCTATTTTTGCAACCGAGCCATTCTTCTTGCATTTAACCATGCTTCCACTCTGAAATAATCAACCTCAAACTTCCACACCAACGCAAAACCAACTAGTGAAAAGGCCACAAGAGCGCAAAGCCACAGGAGAAGAACCAATCACAAAACCACAAAACCAACAAGAGAAGAACCAATCGCAAGATCATAATGCCAGAGACAAGTTCGAAGTCCATACCGTGGAGAAACTTAGTCATGAGAAGGGGGAGGGAGAAGCCAACACGGTCATGAGAGGAGGAGAAAGATTCGGTCGTGAGAGAGGACTCGAGGGTGAGAGAAGGGTAGGGTAGTAAAAAACACAACTTCGAACAATACGAACCTGTGGCCCGCGTTTCGCTGAAATTATCCCAAACACCCCCAAAACACGACATTCAAACAAAAATTTTAAAAAAAAAATGTGCGGCTTAGGGTCGTGCCGTGCAAGAAACGCGACCCCAAACACACCTTAAGTTTACAGAACTTTCCATAATTTTAAAATGCACACTTAACTATTATAATATTGGGTCTAACTTTTCTTGCCTATTGTGAAGTCTAATAGTTGAGATGATAAAGATGAAACCTTGCAATATGGATGAGATGATGAATTGATATGTTAGGCTTGCAAAGATGCAACTGACATGAAGTGCCGCATAAGTGAAATGATATGAACAAGTTTTTAAGCTAACAATAGAAATAAAAACACACAAAAAAACGAGTTTATTCATTAAAACAACAGTAAATCTAACTAAATTTATTTTAAATCATGTCATTTTCAACAAGAAAGATTCAATTTTGATTATGTGTACACACACTCTTAATATGAAGTGGAACTAATTCAAATGAAATTATCAAAAAATGAAAAAGGTTGCAATGGATATTCAACTCACTATGCATGGAGTTTCCTAAGCATGAAACTAGATTTGCAGATCATTATAAATTATGATCCAAACTTTTAAAGTCTAGGATTACGTATTTAAGCAGTTAGAATTCAAGTTTTTTTGGCGTCAAAATGTCTATTGATGAAGATCCTATTCGCTAACGTAGTGCGGTATGGAAGTCTTTCACCCTATTCAAGAAGGTATTCTTCACTATTGGCTGCCTGCTGTGGACAACAAATGTTTTTGGTTCAAATTTCAGGCCAAGGACAACCGGTTATTGCTTAGAACTAGTCTGGGATGGTTTGTTTCATGTTTTACTAAGTTCGGCTTACCCAAACATGATGGGTTGAGAGATTCAATGTGGGAATTCTAATATTGGAAGTCCAAAATTTGAATTTTAAATCTTAACTTCAAACTTTTAAAATCAACACATTCTTCAAGAGAAATAGGGATTGCATGGAATTCTTAGGCAGCAAGAAGCATTTCATTTCTTTTGCATTGTGTTTTTACAGATTATTTAGCATATTTATAGAAACGAACATTCAACAGATCCAATTTTAGAAAATTACAAAAGGATACTCAACTAACTAATACATGTTAAAGAACGAAATTAATATTACCATACATTTGGAACAAAGAAATGTAAAATGACACCAAAAAATGATGTACATTTTTACTTTTCTTTACTTTCTATGATCCTGATAGCCTTGGAATAAAGCGCAGTATTCTATGGATGCCATTGATGGCCTTTATGAAGCATGTTTGTTATTTTTTAAAAATCTAAGCATAATTTCTAGAATCTGACTCTGCAAACTCTGAATTCCATAGATTGTCATCATAACTGCTGGTCTTTAGCCATATCTATTTCAAATTACCAGTTTAACTTATATTTATGTTTACATTTTTTCTCTATTCTTATATTTCTTATGACAGATATATAGAGCCCCTTTCAGCAGACGCAGCAACAAAATTTGAATTTGATAACATGATAATTGGGCAAGCAATCCCATCAAACTTTATTCCAGCCATCGAGAAAGGTTTCAAGGAAGCTTGCAACTCGTGAGTGATAGAGAAGTAACAATTTATGGATTTATTATTATTATTATTATTTTTTTTGGAGTTTTTTTATGTATTAAACTTTATTTCCTCTATTGTAGGGGTTCATTGATAGGGCATCCCGTTGAGAATATTAGAATAGTCTTGACAGATGGTGCTTCACATGCTGTTGATTCCAGTGAACTTGCTTTCAAGTTAGCATCTATCTATGCTTTGAGACAGGTTGAATATGTTTGCCTTTTTCCTAATTCTACTATCTTCTAATTTGAATTATATACCACATATATCACAGAATTTCGCTTTATTAATGAATAGGCATTTGTTATGCATAAAAAAAGGGGGCATTTACATGCATACCACTACATATCTAACACCTACACATTCATATTTGCATGCATGTCACTCAAACCCTTAACATCACATAAAAAATTCCATCAATTACTTTTTTTGAAATGTGAAATATACCTTTTCATATATGGGTGTATGACACCAAAGTGTTACGAGTGTAACTATCTAACTTTGGGTGTTATGCATGTAATTACATAAGAATTGCGTGTTATGTGTATAAATATCCCTTAAAAAATACAATAGATATGGGCGCTTTATGAGAGTTTGAATTAATTGACTTTTGTTGACAGTGTTATGCTGCAGCAAAGCCCGTCATATTGGAACCTGTTATGAAGGTGGAATTGAAATTTCCAACTGAGTTTCAGGGCACCGTTACTGGTGATATTAACAAGTATGTATTAGTACTTTTGTTGTCCAGCTCATCAAAATTTAGATCATGTTTTTGTGCTTGGTTTGTTCTTTATGTATTTATTTTACTTTCTAATGGGGACATGAAATCTGACATGTCGATATCCAATGTCAGGAGAAAAGGAATTATTGTTGGAAATGACCAGGAGGGTGATGATACGGTAATTGTTACCCATGTAAGTGAGACTTCGCCTCTTTTAAATTGTTTGAATTAAGTAGTTAATTTTAATGTACTATTTGAGTTTACAGTTACAATTATTAAATTGATGGAGCCATAAAAATCCATATTATTGACGGTACTTGCATTTCTCAAACTTATTGTTAAGCCTTTATGTTAGAGTATAAGGCTTTATATTAGATAAATCTTACTATTAAGGTTTAATTTTTTTCTAAAATATTTTATATTTGAACAAATTCTTATAGTTAATGATTTTATTATTGTGGTCAATGTTCTTATTTTATAAATCCTTATAATTTATCGAAGTCCTAATATATATGGAAAACATTTGATGTTTGATTTAGACGCATTATATATGTTTAAAAACTAGAAAATTACGTTTTTTTGCTTTTAAATGCCTTTAATTTAACTTACTGATAAGGGATGTGATTCTTTTTTAAATGTGGATTGTGGTGTGTTCCCTTACTTAGTTATTTGCTAAGCTGAGAAGCTACATCACTTATTTGCTAATCCAGTCTAAGTTCACTTCCATTCATAATTGCTGTCTCAGGTACCGTTAAATAATATGTTTGGCTATTCAACCTCCTTGCGGTCCATGACCCAGGTAAAAAAATATGAGTAGAAGCTTGTTATTTCATTATTGAGAGTTATAATTCCTGTATTTAAGTTTTTATCTTGTAGTTAGTGTTTCAATTGAAGGAATTTGAAGCAAAATGAAATGAAAATGCTTGTGCTTGTGTGTGTGTCTACATATATATATATATATATATATATATATAT